TTGAACCATCTCGTGTTGCACGCTATGGTGTGGGACCGCCTGGGGCCATCTGGGGCTAGGTGGGACATGAGTGAGCGGCGCAGTGACCATTGGGAGCACGTGGCACTTGCGGGTTTGACGCCAGGAAGTGTTATTATTTTTTTGGAGAGCGTGGGGAGAACGGTTTTGGCAGTTGGGACCATCCAATGCTACAGGTGGTAGTGCGGAATCACTTAGGACTGCCTGGGATCAATTGGGACCGATGCGGGACGCGGTGGATTTTTTTTTGGGATGAGTGCGGTTCGCCATCTTCACACTTGGGACTGCCGCGAGTGAGATTTGCGAGTCAATAGTAAATTGGGACTAGCGGTTGGCACAAGACTTACCTCGGGACTATGGTTTCTTCGGCTACGCATATATGTTACTTGACTTTCTTGAGTAAGCCACGGCGCGTTCGACACCACTTCACTCAAGATCAGTTGGTTGACTCAGATTCTTTCTCACACCAGTGTGAACCCACACTTTGCTTGGTCGTGTTTGTTTTGAACGTTCAGAAGAAAAGGTTGAGTAAAGTGTGTGTGGTCATGCATGTGGAAAGTGAGATCTAACGGGAGTATGGGTTGCTGGATTTTCTGGACCTGTGGTTGTTTGCGTGCTGTGCAGGTAGGTAGAAGGATGTTGCAAATGATAGGTTTTATGGTGTTTACTAGAGAAGATGAAAAAAATTGTCTTCTTTTTACTTGTCACCTACCTGCATGTCAAGAAAGTTGCGTTTGTTTTGAAAAATGCTAATTCAGTTTGCACCGTAAAATTAATTTGATTGAAAGGAAGAAGATAAGGTTAAACAAACTTGTTTTTTTTCTCCCGAGGATTCACCCTTTCTATCTCGAATGACCTTATTTACGTATACATATCCGAATGATTCTCATTCTCTATCACCTTTGATTCCTTTTCGTCTAAATTACCTTAAGCGTGAGAAGAAATGAGAATAACTGAAGGGAAAAAAAAAAAATTGCAGTGAACACGTTCTCTCTTTCATGGAAGCATCTGGGGCAGGGGTTCGTTGCTTTAAGAGTCGACCCTGTTATCGACCCAAAGTGGACCGTTCTACGGGGGGGTACTTCTCCGATTCGGTGGAGACGGCCCGACTTCTGAGATCTGAGCTTTGTGTTTGGGCGAGGAGTACCCCAGTCCATTTCCTAGAGAGTGAGGCATGCAACACTTAAAGCAATGCCCCTGATCAAGAATCATTCACAAAGTTGTTTGTCACCCAAAAAGACTGAAAACAGATAAAGACAGGTATATATGTCGAGTCTTAAGTCGGCGGTAGGTTGAATGGATAACTTTGGCAGCGTGTCTCATCAAGTCAAAATTAAGGCAGTCGATTACCTTGTCGGCTGCATCTATATTATTGTCGGTAGCCAACTCCTTGTTGACGGTTGATTGACAGTTTTGTGGTATTCGACCTGAGGTCGTCAGCCTTGTATTTCGATCTTGTGTTATTGGATATATCTGATGATGATTCAAATTATTTCAGTGATCCTCGCAAATTGGATATTTTTGTCAACCGCGTTTGATTTATTTTGACGTAATGAGTGTGACTATTATTACTTTTATGTACGGATGTTATTACCTTCGTTTGACTGTATGTCTAAGGGACTAGGATTGAGTTGTGGGTCTCATCTTGGGGTACTTACACAGTAATGTGTAGGCGCGAAGCTGGATATATGCTGGGAACTTCGCCGAGTATCAAGAACCAAGTTTCAATGAACAGGAAGCAATTTATCAAGCATCAACTTATTCATCAGAATTATATGTACCAGCACAGATAACTTATACAAAATCAGAAAAAACGAAAAGTGAACTAATACTAATCGGCAACATTCCAATAATGACGGGCAGAGGGAATTTTATTATTAATGGAGCTTGTAGAGTTATAGTTAACCCTCCTAGTCGACCGGCCTCTGCCTTATACTTAGGAGATCAGCGCCCTAAAGAACGAACGACGTTCGGGTCCACTCGATGTTAACCAAGCGTATCTATACTACAACGAATGAGCAAACGGCCTCGGCTGATCTACCTCTGCGACTACATATAAAAGCTTCCACACATGGGTCAGTAGCTCGGTAGGGGTACGCCCCTAAGGGTGGTGACATCCCCTTAGGGAAGGAAGGCTAATGCCCCGTGGGAACCTATCCTGTCGTAGGGGACCGCGGGATGTACAATTGGCGCACCCGGCTAGAGCGGCAGAGGGACGATGCGACCACGTCCGTCTCAGTGGCTCCCGGGCTTATGGGTCGTTCCGAGTTGTCTCTCTATTTATGTTTTGTCTTACTCCTGCGTGACATGGCCGAGAGGGTTCCCGCACCTTGGAAAAGGCGGGAGCCGATGCGCTTGATATCGGGATCTGTGGAATGATTGAGAGAGAGAGAGGATACTTACATGTTGCTGATGTCGACATTGCGCGTTGTTGTAACGTCTTCACGGGAGAACTGTGCCATGTAGCACTCTGATGTGATCAGACCTGTCAGACTCGTTTCTTGGACATTGTTTGCTCACGTGGAGGCGAGGGGAGGCCCGGAGAAGGAGAGGGAAATGAGGGGCTACTATCTATGTGGTCATTGATGGATACTTACTCTTCCACCTTCTAAGTTTATTCTCGCCCACCTCTCCTTCGTTCACTGGTTACAAGAAATTGTGTCACAAATCACATTCACGATTATTGGAGACATTGATCAGCGCTTGGTTATCTTGTGCTTCGACACGTGACGAATTTCCTCCAGACTCGGTTCATTACAATTTGGTATTGGAGCTTACCTTCTTTGTCTCGATCTGTTGTCAGACGCATGCTTGCGCCAAGGTAAGTGTCGGGGGATGTGTCGTGCGTTGAGAGAATCGCGTGTATAGACGTGCGCAATTATCATCGTGGACTAGACATTGATTGACGCGCGTGCACACACACTCCCCCCTAAAGATGATGACATGGACTGAAGATAACGACATTGCTTATGCAGCGCATTGTTGCTGATGTGGCGATCAATACCGGCGAGAGCATCACTGGCTGCAGCACCAACGTGGTGCTGGTGATCGCGAGAGAAAGATAGAGAGAGAGAGGCAGAGTCGAAAACGGGACTGCTGACGTGGCACACGAGTGGTGGATGTTCTGGCAGACGACGCATCCCTAACATGGCACCCTTGGCCATTGACGCTGACGTGGCAACTCTGCGGAGGTGTTGCGTTGGCATTCCAGGGTGACACGTGGCATTGGATGTGCGTTGCCGCTGGTGAGAGTCGATACTTACACTTGTGTGTTGGCGGGGGGTACGGCATCACGATTTGGCTATAGTGCTACGTGTCGGCACTTATGCCTGGCTGCATTGGCATTCACAGGGAGACAGTCAGAAGAGGATGAGTTGCGGACATCTTGATTGTTGTTGTTTTATTGACCGACTCTACTCACCGAGGGTTGTTCTATGGATGTCTGCTACTCACCTGTCTTGTTGTTGTCTCGATCTCGCTGGTCGTGGCTACGGTACTCGTACTCTCGTTGGGAACGTCATCACATAGAACAAACAACAAAACTTGAATTAGGAATAATTGAAATTATGCTCCTTATTTATTTCTGTTTATTTATTTCTTGCTGTAAAAAATTCGAAATTAATTGCGTGTGGCCGTGGAATTGATTATTGTCTTTTGATTATTTATTGTGTGGCATTCACACGCTGGGAACCATGACTTACCTCTGGAAATGTTTGAGTGTCTGCATTCGCACGAGATATATACCTCTCTTCTTCTTCCCCATCCCTCTCACAGTCTTCGCGAATAAAGAAGGGGGGGAAATGAGAACCCGTGGTTAGCATTTGGACCTTCGGCCTTCTATGTACCAGACAGCCGGCCCTCGAAAATCTTGGCGTATCTGTTTCATACAAGTATGCTGCGAATAGCCAGGCTCGCCAGAGTTGGAACATTTCAGGAAGCGTGGTTCACACACTGTTTCTAGAATAGTACGCATTACCTCAACAGAAGAAAGAAGGCAAACCATGTCGGGTCGTCTCCACCAGCTGCTCGACGAGATACATAGAGTTCAACCAGAAGTTGAACAACATGTTCACGTTCAGTTTGATCTACGTGCCAGAAAAGTCGAACTAAACACCACTGAGACTGCTGTGCAGATCCTGGAAACCAGTAGACGAGTTCGACAACTCATCATTGATGGGCGAACAACCCTTGATCGATATGTCACTAAGCAGATGGATAGGATGCGCCAAGGGAGAACCACTGAAGAAAAGGAAGAAGGAGAAGGGAAGGAAGAACCAGAACTGTCTGAGGAAATCATAGAGGGAAATATCAAACAATTGGAATATGCATTGATTCCATTGAAGGCAGAAAGAAAGAAGATGGAGGACTACCAGAGGAACAAGAAGAAAAAAAAAACAGCAAGAAAATAAGGTGAATGAAATCAGACAGAGATTTCATTTTGAAGGAACAGAAACTGACCTTGCATCCGTATTGAATACCATGATGGCTTATCTCGCTCATCTGGAAATGAAGATAAACAACAACACCGCCCCACTGCAAACAATGACAAAACTCGTAAAGGGAAAGAAGAAGGTGGTGATTGAGGAGGAGGTCAAGGGGGAACAACAGAAAGAACCCCATGAAAAGTTGATGAAGGATGCAATGAAGATAGCAATGAAGATTCCAGAAAAGCCCGAAAGCTCAGGGAAACAACCTGATGAACCGGTGACGAAGAAAGAAGAAGTAGCCGCCAAGAAGGAAGTAGCAAAGAATAAATAAAAGGTGAAGATGAAACTTCCTTTCAAGTGTAACGGGAAGCGGGGTGAACATCTGCTATTGTGGATAGCATAAATCCAGACATATTGTGGGACTACACTAGTTGAACCAGAAAGCCAAGTTGCTTTTACTACCTCATATCTGGGGGAGGTAGCGAAGGAATGGGTTTTGTCTGAGGCCAACGCTGCTGGCTTCAAGGATATCGGTGAGCGGGCTAAAACACTTACCCTCAGAGAATTCCTCCAAAATATCAAGCAGAGGTTCCTTGACAAGACAACGACCGATAAGGCCTGCGACAAACTCACCACAATTGGCCAAAAGCACTGGACCACCGTCGACGCTATGTCTCGTGAGGTTGATCGATTGTTGCAGGTACCTGGTTTGAACCTGCGGGACAACCAAGTATTGTACATCTTCTCACGGGCATTGCCGGAACCATTCATGGACATCTTGTCGCTGGGGCAGAATCCGGTAAGTATAATTACACACAGTTCCGTGACCTCGCGCTCCAAAAGGAGTAGATGACCGCAGAGGTAAAAAGTACCTATGCATTTGTTGTACGTAATGATCCGTCCGGTGGGTATGGGAAACGTGTCCTTTGGTGGCAAAAACGACAATGACCATATGCTTGTCGTCTTCGATGATGACGTGATGGAGAAGTTACCCCTCGACGAGGCGTAGGGTGCAGGTAATGGTGACAGTGAGTCTGAAAAGGGTGACGTCACTACCACGGTGGCTAACAAGGGTGACACCAATTAGAATTGGAACAAGAAGAAGAGGTCGCGCTCCTTCCTAGAGCACCCTGACACTGCAGCAAGAAGACCTTGGGAGAAAAAGAGCCTTACCAGAGAAGAATGGCAGGAGAGGATGAATAACATGTAGTGTCTCAAGTGTGGCACTGTGGGGCATATCATTGCATCTGGAACCCAAAAGGGAGCAGCCAGTAGGAGTAGCATCTGCGCCTACTGAGTTGGGAGGTTCAGTTGAAGATAAGGCGCCAATAACTCCTTTCAACCCCCTGACTCACATGACAAAGGATGACTCTTCTTCGACACGTTGTTCGGAACACCCTGACACTGTCTTATGTTTTGTCTCTCTGGACGATTCTTTGGACGGACTTGGAAATTAACTCATTGCACTAAGAAGTTTGTGGGCTAAGAAAGCAAAGTCTAAGGGTGAGTCAATGATCGCAGACATTGAGATTGCACGTACACGAGTAGGTGCCTTGTTAGACCTATGATCGACGAAGGCAATTTGTAAGTTGTATATGGGAATGAAGGTAAAGGACTTACCTAGACCTATCACATATATTTTGGCTGACAAGAGCACGATTACTGTGTCTCAATATGTTGATCGTATAAAGTGTTACTTTCAAACTAAGGAAGGAAATAAGATTTTGCATGAAGTTTCCTTAGTGATTGAAAAAAACTTGCCCTTAGACATGATTCCAGGAATGGATTGGCACGATATCAAGTTTGAGGAGAAGATTGTAAAGCCCAAGGACAAAAAGTCCGAGTTCCGAGCAATGAAATTTTATCATACGTCTTGATCTTACTCGTCATTGTCTTGTTGCATGAGTTATCCAGCCTTTAGATCCATGATCTCAAAGAAGAAGTTGGATCAGGATGTGATGACGGTACTCGTTGAACGAGTAGGCGAATGTTCCTCATCCTACCAACCTTCTATTAAAAAATTGCTTCACGAATATAAGGACTTGCAGACTAAACCTACAGCAATAATTGAACATGCTATCAAACACACAATTGAAATTATTCATAGAGGTAAGATTCCCAAAGGACCCATTTATCACATGCCTCCTAGGGAACTAGAGGAACTGAAGAAACAACTGCAAGAACTAATAGAGAAAGGACGGATTCGCCCAAGTTCATTTGTCTATGGTGCACCTGTTTTCTTTGTGCCCAAGAAGGAAGGGGAACTTAGGCTAAGCATTGGCTATCGAGGATTGAACTCCGCCACTGTTAAAAATGTGGAGCCCCTTCCTCGTATTGATGACCTACTTGATCAGTTACAAGCTATGAATCCCCTGCGGTCATGACTGCGGGGTCAATCTCGGCCCGCGGTCGGGATCCCGACCGCCGATGTCGGCTGTGGGCGAGGGCGGTCGGAAAACCCCGATATTTTTATTCCTAGGATAATAGGCCCAAAAAAAAAAAAACAATATCGGGTTGTAGGGTTTTTTGCGCTCTACAACAGTATATTTTTAGTTTTATTTTCTGACTTCGTTTTGGATTTAAAAAAAATGAAAAACAGAAATCCATCGGGCAAAAGTTCTTCACTTTATTCTTTTTGTAAGAAAAATAAAGGATTTTGTTTGTTTGTTATCTCAAATTTGGTAACGAATTTTGATATGACCCCAAGGCAAAAGCTGTTCAGTTTATTTTTTGGCATAACATTTTTTTTTTTTCAGATTGTTCTGAATTCTTTGTTTTTTTTTTTTTTTTTTTTTGACCGCGGACCGCGATCAGAACCGCGGGCCCGCGGCCGCGAGCGCAGCCCGCGGTCGTGCCCGCGGTGACCGCGGCCGCGGGGGATTCATAGGTTGCAGGGGTGTAAGTACTTCAGCAAGATTGATCTGAAGTCAAGTTACCACTAGATCGAGGTGGCACATGAAGATCAACACAAGACGACTTTCTGAACAAGGTATGAATATTATCAGTTTACTGTTATGCATTTCGGATTGACAAATGCACCTGCGATTTTTCAGAGGTCTATGAATGAATTGTTTAGGCAATGGTTGGACCAGTTTGTAGTTGTGTATCTCGACGACATCCTCATGTATAGTAAGACACTAGAGGACCACAAGAAACACCTACGAATGATACTTCAGAAGTTGCGTGAAGGCAACTTTAAGTTGAATGCTAGGAAGTCTGAGTTTGCGAAGCCTAAGGTATTGTACTCAGGGCATACAGTAAACGAAGAGGGACTAAGGCCTGAAGAGAAAAAAATTACAACAACTCGAGATTGACCCAGACCTAATACTGTTACTGAACTCGGATCTTTTCTAAGACTTTGTAGTTACTATAGGACGTTCGTAAGGAACTTCTCATTGATAGTTGCGCCTATAAGAAGACTTCTGAAGAAGGAAAAACCTTCGTTATGGGACAAAGATTGTGAGTCTTTGTTCAAAAAGTTGAAACACGTACTAACTTACTATCCTATCTTAAAGATTGTTGATCCGACTTTACCTTTCATTGTCACCACTAACGCAAGTCGGTATGGAATTGGGGTTGTGCTACAACAGGATGACGGTGAGGAATATGAACCCATTGAGTTTATGTCCTATTCCACTTACGAAAGGGATTTGTATGCCTTGGTCGCTGCACTTGACACATGGAAACACTACTTGCTAGGAAAACACTTCACTATCTATACAGACCACTCTACCTTGAACTGGATCAAAACCCAACCTTGACTCTTTGACAAGTTAGTTAGATGGTCCGCTTTTATTGACATATTTGACTTTGAATTGAAAACAATTATAGTGAAGTCTAATGTTGTTGAGAATGCATTGTCCAAGCGGGCTAATCAGGGTTGTCGAGCCCCCGGCCACGGGGCCCCGGTGGGGGTCCTGGGGGCCGGGGGTCAACACCCCTGGCCCTGGCAAAAAAAATCCAAAAAAAATAAATAAATAAAAAAAAATACAGGGGGGTGCGCAGCCGCAGCCTGCACCCCCGGGCCAAAACTGCAATATTGCAGTTTTGGCCCGACCTTGGGCCCCCCCCGGGGCTACACCCCCTCCTCATGAGCCCGGGGTAGTGAGGGCGTGGGGCCGGGGGCGGGGCCCAGCGGGGTGTGGGGCCGGGATCAGCTAGCAGCGGGGGCNACACACACACACACACACACACACACACACACACACACACACACACACACAACATAGGTGCATTCCTACACTCACTTGAAATAACCTCAGACCAATGGATGAACCGGACGCTCAATTGCGTCCCGGTTCTTCGACTGATCTTTCACCACATGGTCTTTCATGGTTGGGCGTGAGTGCAAGGTATATGACAAACATGCTTATAGTGTTGTTAGAGGTTGAAGTAGGTGTGCCCCCCACATGTCAATTGAGTCCCCTTGTATATTGTTTGTTCATTGTATATTTCACCAATGAGCTATGTTTAGTCGAATCAGGCACATTATTACGTAGCGCCTGAATCTTTTGACTGCTAGTATCCCCTGTGTGGTTGTAATTTTGCTCATAGGTTGCAACTGCACCTGATTGATTGATAATCACTACAGGCGGGATTGACTTGCAGGTCTTTGAACCGTCCCCATAAGTTTTCAATTTGCTTACAATCATGCAAGGTGATGGTCGACAGCTATGTTGCTGCATGATGTAAGTCTACTTCAGTGAACGCCAAATCATTGCCAATAGGCAGTGAAACTGTATCCCTTCTTAACGGCCTCTTCTCTTTTTACGTTGCTTGGCCAATGAGCATACCTTGAATGTGCTCAGCGCACGATACTCTGTTCGGACGACCCCATGCTAAAAGTTAAAACCTTAGCATACATAAGTGTCAGGTGGCAGTCTATCCCGTCCATGAGTGACACATGTGCATATGTCCTTGGTCACCCTGTCTGTTGTGCGGCATCAATCATGCGTGTTAGAAGTGAGGGACAAGCCAAAACCCTTGTCCCTTTTGCAATTGCTAGGTGGTCATCCAGCGGGTCGTCAAATGGCACAGGAGCGTGTGTCCTTGGCGGCCTGACAACTCATCTGCTCTGTCCACATCGCTCGAATGTCGACAATTAAGCTCAAAAGTCCAACCCTAGTCCCTCTTGTAACAACCAAGTGGTCGTCTCCCTGGGACGATAGCTGGCTGCTATGCCCATCGACACGTGGCACCTGAGCACGCTAGTATGCGTAATTGGTAATAGGGAAGGTACTACCTAAGTACACGAGAGCCACGTGTCGATGGGCATATTTGGGGTGCGGGGGGCCGGGGGTGCGGGGGAGGCGGGGGTCGGGGTGGGGTGTTTTGCGGTGGGTAGGGGTGGGGCACCCCCGCGACGGGGGTCCGGGGGTCAAACCCCTACCCCGGCTTTGCCCTCGGGGCCCCCCGCCTGACAACCCTGGTGCTAATATCTTTGGAACCATTGTCTCCTATCTCGATATTAGGAATGACTTGAAAGAGGAAATCCGTAAGGGGTATGCAGATAATATGATATGGAGTCCTATTATTGAGACCGTACAGAGAAACCCTGAACTATTCCCTGAATATCGAATGATTGAGGACTGACTCGTCTTTGTTGATAAGACTGACGAAAGACTCTGCATTCCACACAAAGAACCAATTAAGAGTATGATTATTGGGGAATGCCATGACACTGGAGGACATTTTGATTTCAAAAAGACGTATGCAAATGTTAGAGAACGCTTTGAATGGAAAAAAATAAATAAGGATGTGTTAACCTATGTGCGAACTTGTCTTATTTGCCAAACGAACAATCCCTCACATGAGAATCCACTGGGACTACTGAGACCACTACCTATTCCAAGTGAGCTAGGTGAGGATATCTCAATTGACTTCATGAGCGTCACTAAGAGTCAGAAGGGCAATAGTCAGGTAATGGTCGTTATGGATCGATTGTCAAAGTATGTTATGTTCATTCCCTTACCTACCAAAGTTAAGATGAAACTTGTCATCCAAGAGTTCCATATGCGATGGGTTTAGGAATAAGGATCTCCAAAACCCATCGTCTCTGGTAGGGATGTAAGGTTCACCGGTCTACAACGGCAAAAGTTGATGGAAGCCTATGACACTAGGTTGACCATGTTGTAAGGTATACACCCTGAAACGAATGGATAAACTGAACAGATGAATCATCTATGCAAACAACTTTTGCATGTGTATGTACGACCCGATCAAATAGGTTGGGACGAGAACTTACCTAATACTGCTAGTGCATATAATAATAGCATACATACTGTTATAAGGAAAACGCCGAATGCACTGCACCAATGTTGGAAGCCACGACGTCCCATTGACGCTCTAACCAGGGACCAGATTTAAAGGTTATCCCAAACACTCGAGAATTTGCAGTTTTATATGAAGAAGACATAAAGAAAGTTAAGGAAAATATATAGAAAGTCCAATTACAGATGGTTGAACAGGCCAACAAGCATCGTCGACCATCACAATTCCAAGAAGGTGATCTTGTATGGGTAAAGTCTAAAGAATTTTCCTTGGAAGAAAATGTGTCTCAGAAACTGCTACTTGGCTATTACGGACCTTGGGAAGTTCTTAAGGTGATTGGGGATCCATATGGACCCTCATACAAAATTGACGTACCCCCACACCTCAAGAGCTATCCTGTATTTCACGCATCTAAACTCCTGCCATATGTAGAGGGACATAACTTTCCCACCAGACCATCTATGTTCCCTCCTTCAATGAATGGAGGCTTTGAAGTTGAGAAGATATTGGAACATGGATACTTCTCTACAAGTGGCAGAGGAAGGCCTCAAAATCAGTTCAAGGTCAAGTTTAAGTCTCAACCTCCGTCTGAAGCTAGATGGTGTAGTAAAAAGGAACTATTACCTACAACTCTTGATATTATTGTTGCATATGAGCCTAATCTAAAAGAAACTTAATGTATTTTTGCGATGAAACTCGAAAATTGGGTCGACGAGAATGCAATAACCCGCTCCAATATGCCTCGTTGTTTGTCTACCGGCCACCCGCAGACCCGACACTGGCCTTACACCGCAACGCGATAAGGGAAAGAACCCCTGAAACTGGCTTCAAGGGCCCTGCGCCTGACAGTTGACTAAAGTCAACTGTACAGTTCCCCATGAGTCAAAGTCGGCATGGACCCAACCCAGACCACCAGTCAGACACACCCACTTGTTGGTATGCAGGTATCCAAACAACATTCGGACCAAGTGGAAGTCTACAACTGTACGAGATCAAGGCTATTGACTGTAAGTCAATCTGAGCCTTCGTGGGTGAGGGTCCAAAGACAGGTCAACCCCGTCAACACTATTTAAGGCCCCTACCTCGGGGAGTCAACAATTAGTCTTGTCTTGCTGACTTGACGCCAGCTTGACACCGGCGAGATACTAGTGTGATGCTGGCTTGACACTGGCTGTACGTTGGCATTGTGAAATGACAACGCAAAACTGCTGCATAATGTGTGTGGTGCGTTCCTGCTCTGGCACTAGACTGTATTATTGCTTGCTGACGTGGCGCATGCCATATTGTCTTCGACATTGCTGATGAGGCGCATGCCACCCTGCCTACATTGCTGACGTGGCATTTGCCACACTGTCTTCATTGCGGAGTTGGACGCGACAAAGACGAAGATCGGGATCTGTGGAATGATTGGGAGGGAGAGAGGATACTCACCTATTACTGATGTCGACATTGCGCGGTGTTGTAACGTCTTCACAGGAGAATTCTGCCACGTGGCAGTCTTATGTGATCAGACATGTCGGCTTCATTTCTTGGACACTGTTTGTTGACGTGGAGGCGAGGGGAGGCCCGAAGAAGGAGACGGAAACGAGGGGCTACTATCCATGTGGTTATGGATTAATACTTACTTTTCCACCCTCTAAGTCTATTCTCCCCCACCTCTCCTTCATCCACTGGTTACAAGATATTGTGTCACAGATCGCATTCACGATTATTAGGGACATTGATCAGCGCTGAGTTATCTTGTACTTCGACACTTGACGAGTTTCCTCGAGACTGCTTCCTCCCCCACCTCCTTCGCCCACCCACCATAGCCAACCACCTTCACACCATCTTCCTCCTCCACCTCCTCCACCTCCTCCACCTCCTCCACATATCCACCATAGTCAACCACCTTTACACCTTCTCCCTCCTCCATCTCCTTCACCCATCCACCATACCTAACCACCTTCACACCTTTTTCCCCCTTTACCTTCTTCACCTATCCACCATAGCCAACCACCTTCACACCTTCTTTCTCCTCCACCTCCTTCACCCATCCACCATAGCCAAGTACCTTCACACCTTCCTCCTCCACCTCCTTGACCCATCCACCATAGCCAACCACCTTCACACCTCTTTCCTCCTCCACCTCCTTCACCCATCCACCATCTGTGTGTCTTTTTAACGGGGAAGGGGGGAATTAAACTCTCGGTGAATCCCATTAAATTCAAAAAAATCCCGTTGAATTCACATTAAACGGGAAAATGGGCCGCTCCCGCACTTTTCGGAAAAACGGAATTGATGCGCGGGGTCCAGAACACGTAGCCCTAGGCAAAAAAATAAAATTAAAAAAAAAAAAAAAAAATCCCCCCAACCTCTGAAGCACCTCCGATCCGCCCCCACATCCCCCAACCCCCAACGCCTAAGTTATGTGTGTGTAGGTGTGTTGTGTGTGTGCGTATGTGTGTATGTGTGTGCCTGCGCGTGAGAGTGTGTATGTGCATGAATATGAATGTATGCGCGTGTGTTTGTGTATGTGTGTGTTTGTAAGGGTGTGTGTGTGTGTGTGTGTGTGTGTGCATGATTGTTGGCGTGTGTCCATTGTTTCCCTTTTGAGGGATATAGTTTTTTCCCGTTGAAAACTGGGGGCAGGCGATATAGGTTTGGGCGGGCAATTTGGGTCTGGTTTTTTTTTTTTTTCCTCTTCTACTGCATCTTCCCAGAAATACAGTAACCAAGCATTCTGCTGTTTGTTACCAAGTAACAAAATCTAGAACGGACTGCCATGCCTCATTGGCAAGGCTTACTAAGAAAAGGAAAGAAAAAAAAAATGTAGAACATAGGTAGATGCACTGCTAGTAGTTTAGAGCTTGAAATGTCATTTTTCCTGGCTGCGTGTGGGGCGGCACAGCCCTCTGTAGCTTGCTATTCGTTTTTGAGGTTTTTTTTTTTTTTTTTTTCCCCCCCCCCCTYTTGCGATCCAAGAATCTGGGCTCCGACCAACGGCCTAGCTCAGTTGATTAGGCACACAAATGGCATTCAGGAGGTTGTGGGTTCAATCCCCGCCTATGGCACTCGCGATGCCAACCAACTGAGATAGTCGGTTGGATCCTCCCAGTCTTTATCAGTAAGGTCTTCAACCAACACGGCTGGGAGGCACCCCCTGTCCCTACGATCCTACCTCAGTGTGACCAACACTGAGGAGCATCACCCTACCAGTATTAAGGGCAACTTGGACCACATAGATGTGACAAGCACAAGGGTTGGGCCAACCTCCTAGCCCTAATAGAAGCGGAGGCGAACGAACAATGCGGTATGGGAACTTTGGACGCCAGACTCATGCAATCTGCTACAGGCCCAATTTTGTGTGTGTGTGTGTCTTTTTCCCTTTTTTTTATTTGCTTTTTATGTTTTTTTTTTTTTTTTTAATACACGAAGTTCTAAAAAAATAAATAAATAAATAAATTGTTGTACATCTTTGAAAGATCGACAACCCTATATTTTTTATTTGTTTTTCTGTTTTTGTTTTAACCCTTAAAAAATATGTGTGAAACCCAAAAAAAAAACACTCATTTCATTTTAGTTTTTGTTTTTTTTCATTGTGTGTTTATGTTTTTGATTTCTTAAACATATATTTAAACATCTAAAAACAAAAATAAACATATAGGGTTGTAGTCCTAAAAAAAACCTACAACCCCATTTTTTTTTTTTTTTTTGGATAATTTTTAGCCCAGGAAAAAAATCATCGCGGACCCCGTTGATTCGCGTCCAACTCGTCGTTGAACGGGACTTTAACGTGAATTCAACGCGCGTTGAATTTTGTAACGCGGAACCCGCGTTGAATTCAAAATCCGACACACAGTCCACCGCCTTCACACTTTCTTCCTCCTCCACCTCCTTCACCAATCCACCATAGTCGACCACCTTCACACCTTCTTCCTCCTCCACCTCCGTCACCCATCCACCATAGCCAACCACCTTCACACCTTCTTCTTCCTCCACCTTCTTCACCCATCCACCATAGCCGACCACCTTCACACCTTCTTCGTCCTCCACCTCCTTTACCCATCGACCATAGCTGCACCGTCTTTATCCTTCACCCACTTCACCCATCCACCATAGCCAACTACCTTCACACCTTCTTCCTACTCCACCTCCTTCACCCATCCACGATAGCCAACCACCCTCACACCTCCTTCCTCCTCCACCTCCTTCAGCTATCCACCATAGCCAGCCACCTTCACACCTTCTTCCTCCCCCATGTTCTTCTCCCATCCACCATAGTCAACCACCTTCACAACTCCTTCCTCCTCCACCTCCTTCCTCCTCCACCTCCTTCCTCCTCCACCTCCTTCATCCACCCACCATAGCCAGACACCTTTACACCTTCTTCCTCCTCCAACTCCTTCACCCATCCACCATAGCCAGCCACCTCCACACCTTCTTCGTCCTTCAACTCCTTCACCCATCCGCTACAGCCAACCTCCTTCACACCTTCTTCCTCCCCAACCTCCCTTACCCATCCACCATAGCCAACCACCTTCACATCTTCTTCCTCCTCCGCCTTCTTCACCCATCCGCCATAGCCAACCACCTTCATACCTTCTTCCTCCACGTAGTTCACCCATTCACCATAGGAAACCATCTTCACACCTTCTTTCTCCTCCACCTCCTTCACCCATCCGCCATAGCAAACCACCTTTAAACCTTCTTCCTCCTCCACCTCCTCCACCGATTCACCATAACCAACCACCTTCACACCTTCTTCCTCCTTCACCTCCTTCCACCATCTACCATAGCCAACCACCTTTACACCTTCTTCCTCCTCCACCTCCTTCACCCATCCACCATATCCAACCACCTTCACACCTTCTTCCTCCTCCACCTCCTTCACCCATCCACCATAGTCAGCCAACTTCACACCTTCTTCCTCCTCCACCTCGTTCACCCATCCACCATAGCCAACCACCCTCCATCTCCTTCACCCATGCACCTTAGGCAACCACCTTCACACCTTTCTCCTCCACCTTCACCTATCTACCATAGCCAACCACCTTCACACCTTCCAACTCCTCCATCTCCTCCACCTCCTCCACCTCCTCCACTCATCCACCATAGCCAACCACCTTCACACATTCTTCCTCCTCCACCTCCTGAACCCATCCACCATAGCCAACCACCTTCACACCTTCTTCTTACTCCACCTCCTTCACCCATCCACCATAGCCAGCCACCTTCACGCCTTCTTCCTCCTCCACCTTCTTCACCCATCCACCATAGTCAACCACCTTCACATCTCCTTCCTCCTCCACCTCCATTTCCCATCCACCGTAGCGAACCACTTTTACACCTTCCTCCTCCACCTCCTTCACCCATCCAGCATAGCCAACCACCTTCACACCTTCTTCCTCATCCACCTCCTCATCCACCTCCTCATCCACCTCCTTCACCCATCCGCCATAGCCAACCACCTTCAAACCTTCTTCCTCCTCCACCTCCTTCACCCATCCAGCATAGCCAGCCACCTTCACGCCTTCTTCCTCCTCCACTCTCCTCACCCATCCACCATATCCAGCCATCTTCACGCCTTCTTCATCCTTCACCTCCTTCACTCATCCACCATAGCCAACCACCTTCACACCTTCTTGCTCCTCGACCTCCTTCACCCATCCTTCGTAGCCAACCACCTTCACACCTTCTCCCTCCTCCACCTCCTTCACCCGTCCACCACCATAGCCAACCACCTTCACACTGTCTTCGTCCTCTACCTCGTTCACCCATCTACCATAACCAACTACCTCAAACCTCCTTCATCCCCCACCTCAATGGTCAACCATCACCATGATCAATGAAATATGGGATCGCGGAACGTAGGAGGAGCCTTAGCTAAGGATGGTAGGACAGCTTGGGGATAAACTTTGATTAGAAGTAAGGAGTCCTCTCTCTCTCTCTCTCTCTCTCTCTCTCTCTCTCTCTCTCTCTCTCTCTCTCTCTCTCTC